AGAAGAACTATACAAGAATGAGCTTAACATCCCTGATAACCACGATGGGGTGGTCACTGACTTTGAGCCAGACGTGCTAGAATGTGAAGTCAAATGGGCCTTAGAAAGTTTCAGCAACAACAAAGCTAGTGGAGGAAACAGTATTCCAGCTGAGCTATTCAAAATTTTAAAAGACGATGCAGTAAACATGCTACACTCAATTTGCCAGCAAATTTGGAAAACTCAACAGTGGCCACAGAATTGGAAAAGGTCAGTTTACATTCCAATTCCAAAGAAAGGCAATGCCAAAGAATGTTCAAACTATTGCACCATTGCACTCATATCACATGCTAGTAAGGTTATGTAAAATCCTACAAGCTAGGCTCCAGTATGTGGATCAAGAACTACCAGAAGTACAGGCAGGATTTCGAAGAGGCAGAGGAACAAGAGATTGCCAACATACGCTGGATCATGGAGAAAGCTAGGGAGCTAGGGAGTTCCAGAAAAATATCTACTTTTGCTTCATTGACTATGCTAAAGCCTTTGATTGTATGGATCACAACAAATTGTGGCAAGTTCTTAAAGAGATGGGAGTACCAGACCATCTTCTTTGTCTAACCCTACATGTGGATTAAGACGCCTCCTTTCTAGACTCAAAGTCTTCAAATGAGGGATTTTGCCCCATCCCTTGAGCTTCTTAATTGCCCTCCTTTGAACCATCTCTAGCTTTACTACATCCTTTTTGAGGTATGGCAAACAGAGCTGCACATAATATTCTAGATCAGGGGTCTCCAACCTTGGCAACTTTAAGCCTGGAGGACTTCAACTCCCAGAATTCTGCAGCCTGCTTTGCTTAAAGTTGCCAAGGTTAGAAACTGCTGTTCTAGATGTAGTTGCACCAGGGATTTATATAAAGGGCATTATAATATTGGCATCACTATTTCCAATATAATTTTCTATTGTCTCTAACAAACTTTTGCCCCCTTTTTTTTAAAACAGATGTGAACTATGTTGACATCTTCATTCCATGAACTCTTTCCTTATAACTTCTGATCCTATTACTTTATAAATAGTTGGAGCATCATTTTACACTTGCTCACATCTTCCATTTTGATACCCACTCCCGTAATGTGCAGAGATTCCTTTGAAGCTTTTCAAACTCCCTTATTGTTTTTACCACTCAGAACAATTTAGTGTCATCAGCAAACTTGGCTATTCTACTAAGCACAGGTGATTCCAGGTCGCTTATAAATATATTTAAAAAGCACTGATCCTAGACAGAATCCTGGGGTTAACTGTACTCATTGTGAAAAATGAGTGTTTATTTTTACTCTTTGTTTTTTATTCTTTACTCAGTTTCTTATCCACAAGAGGGCCTGCTCTTTTATTCTATGGCTATTAAAATTATTCAAAATCAACCTTTGATTATGTCAGAGCCTCTATTATTGTGATTTTAAACAACAGCAAAGCTTTCTAGAGTGGGATTGCTCTTTTGGCTTCCCATTTGAGTTTTCTTTTCATCAGTCTATTGAGTTCTGAGAATTTCCCTTCTTTGAACTGAAATATAACTATGCGGAACTTGCTGTGTAAATTATCTCATATCTGAATGTTGAATTTAATGCACTATTGCACTACGTTCACAATTTCACATTACAAAAATGCAATAATAAGGACATTTTATTGAGAATTAGGCATAATGAAATATGATCTCTTTTTCCCATAAAGACCAATTTATTTTTTTCTGTTCAATTGTGTTCAATTCTCATTTTCTAGGTATGGTGGGTGATAAATTAGTAGTATATTATAAGGCTTTGTAATGTCATGTAGTCAATGTTTCCATAGATTGTACCAAAGTATTGAAATTGACAGTATTCTACATGCTGAAAAATCTGATTGCACAGACTTCCTCTTTGTGTGGAAGACCGCAACTGTGCACTAGCCAAGTATGGCTATATAATCCATGGTGGGAAGCATTGCAATCACATAGAAATATCAGTCTGTGGAATGCCTTCCTGTTGGAATCAAAGAAAACAACAACAACAACAACAACAACAACCTAGATTGCCAAGGAAGGTTCTGTTTTCTCTGGCAGGAAAAGGGGAAATGATCACAGAGATCCATGACTAGAAGAGAAGGATCCATTGAAGCTCTGCAGGTTCCTTCTCCAAAAGAATCAGAATAGAGGAGGGTATGTCCTTTTTTTCTGCCAGAAGCTGCCCAAAATCATTGGAGTTTATTTATTTATTATTTTATTATATCTATATGCTGCTCAGCTCACTGTTACATTTGTTTGTTTGTTTGTTTGTTTGTTTGTTTGTTTGTTTTATTGTACTTATATGCCGCCCTTCTCTTGAGGGACTCAGGGCGGCTTACAGAAGTTGAGACAATGAAAGCAATAAAAATAACTACATCAATTTAAAATCCATCCAATTAACATTGACTTTCAGATGCTGGGTGGCATGCAAATTTGATTGTTAAATAAATAAAGCTGGCCCCAAGATAGAGGCACCAGTGTGGTGACCTATTCTCAGTTATGATCTCAAAGTCAGAACAAGGGAAATTTATGGTCAAGCATATTACTAATACAGGTTCTTCTTTAATCCTAATGCACATATGCATGGACCCTTTGTACTTGACTCTCCTTCTAGGAGAGAGTAACTAGCTAAATATTTAGTTCAGTCTTTCCCCATTATACATTTTCTTTTTTGTTTTTCAATTAAACTTAAAATCCCACTTCACTTATCTTCTCCAAGCTATATTTTTAGGGATACCCATACACAGAGAAAGTTTCACTTTCTCTGACACCACTGTCATAGACAAATCACTACTTGAAGAAGTTGAACCTTAAAACTACCTATAACCTCAGCTGGAGTAGAAAATAAATGTGACTGATTTCCTCTGGGACTGTGAATCCAGAACATTTTCTGAGTCTTTTCAATGAATTTGTTGCAGGTAGTAGTCTTAATAAGATCTCCATCTCCACCAGAAAGATTGGAGATGATCACTCCCAAATGTCTTTGATTAAACCATAAAGCCTGGCTCAGCTCCTTGGTATTCAGGGGAGCTAGGTTAATGAAACATTTGGGACAACAGCTAGAGTATAGATGTCAAAAAATGTCTTGCAAATATGATCAATTACCAATAATAACTACAACAGAGGACTTCAGAGGTGTTGGATCTCTGTCCATGATTAATTTACACCTTTTATTTCCTGTAGACTCTATTCCGATGCCATAGCACAGAGACATTTAGACACAAGAGATCTATTAAAGTCAACATTAATAAGGCTTCTGCTGATTGAGTTAAGGAAAGACATATACTCCTATTAAACTACATTACAGGTTACTCTTATCTAAATGTTGGTGTCTGGCAATGCTTATCAGATTGTAACCCTTCATTGTGGCCTGTGGTAGAATGATTTAATTGGTTGATTTAAAGTGCTGGCAAGAAAATAGCTCAATCCTCTCTGACAGAGACTTAACCAAACTTTGAGAGGTAGTTTGAGAGGTGAAAACTGCCAAGCTGGGAAATACTAAAGGCAAAAGCAATGTTATAGCAAAATCTTATGACACTATGTGAAGTATCTGTCTTATGACTCTTGAAGCCTGGTGTTGATTCACACATCTAAGAATAAACAACTACTCTAAAAATTGCTATAGAATTCCTTTATACTGCTCGGAAGGGATTTTCTCTTCTTTGTTTTGACTAAATGTCCCTGTCAAATTACTCTTTCTTTAATAAACATTTTCTTTAGTAATATTTTTCTGAAATCACATTACTATCTATTGGTTAGGATAGATATTGTTATTTTTCCTTCTTTGCCTAAGAAGAGGCTCCTTGCATTAACTGTAGTAAACTATTCTTCATGATTTCTACAAGTTTCTTGCTCCTGTTTCCAGGACTAGAGACCTCTAATTCTTTTCCCTACCAACCTTATAATTTCATTTGTCTAGTGAGATCTTTATTTCACTTTGTGGACCATAGAAAACATCTTGTTTCCTGAAAAATCTCAGACCGAAACCCTGTTCTCTATTTGGTACTGATAATCTATAAATTCTCTTAAGTATTCTCCTTTTTGGTATCCTGTGAAAACTATAATCTCATTGTGAGTTATCTGCTTTGAAAATGGGTATGCGGGTCAGCTAGAGTTCTCTGCTGTATGAAAAATTGCTATTTACTAAGGCTTTGCAATGTGTCTTGCATTTAGGCCTTTATAGTGAAGTGTTGCAATATGTGAGGAGAACGCAATGGCAGTGCAATTGGTCTTACTGAGACATTTCATTTTGGTTCTGGGCTTTCTCTGGCACTTCCATACAAAGAAGCCTCTTCCAATTCCTGGACATTCTAGAACAGGCCCCCAAATTGACATTAAATAAAACAAAACACCACATCCACTTCATTGTTTAGAACAGGGGTGTCAAACTCGCGGGCCAGATGCATCATGTGCTGGCCACCCCTACCCCCATTTTAGCAAAAGGGGAAAAAGTTGTAATATGTGACATGACAACAATGTGTTGTTGCGAGTTTGACACTGCTAGTTTAGAGGCAGGGAGCCATATTCATGAAACCACATTGAAGCAGCACCTCACTCACATTTCATTACCTTTGAAGCAAAGTACTCTTGCAAAGTTTTTTATTGTTAACAACTTTATAGTTATAGTATTGATCAAATATTATTCATAAATTTCATTATTTATTTAACCAATACTGCAATATTTGACACCTTCCTGATTTTTATAACCAGCAAAATAAATCAGTTTGCTCCATTCAGTAATAATTTGTATTTGAAGATTAGATCATTTTCATGGAAGTTTTCCTTTCTCAGTGGAATATTTTGTCCATTGCTTCATTCAGTGCTTTATATATTTATATATTAATAATGTTTACTATCAACCAAATGATTGATCTATATAATTGTATGCAGAAAAAAGCACACACATTAGATCAGTAGAATGTATGTGACTGTTTCACTTCATTCTGTCCTCATTTTGCAAACCAAAGATCTGAAGACAGTGACTTACCTCGTTCACATGATCTGCCTAGGTAGCCTGTACCAGAGCAATCACAGACATATCTGTTCCAGCCATCTCTACAGACGCCATTGTTTTTACATGGGTTGCTTAGACATGGCTTTGCTGTTTCTCTTGAACAGGAGGGTTTCACCCCAGATGTGCTCTGGATTTCTGCCATTTGACGGATGTCTTTACTTTGTCCATCAATAAACAAATCTCGAATGCAGCCCACGTAGCCATAATTTAGAAGGGCTGTCCAGACCTCCGTTGGAAAGACAAGGCCAGCTTTATTTTCTGGCAAACCTCCAAGGTATAAATCATCATCTAGGTCCAAGATCTCACTTTCTCCTGGTGCAGTATACGGTGTACGCATCGTGTTGACAGAAATGGTACCTATTTAGGAACAAAGCATAAGTAATTTATTTGAGACAACAGGTTTTAACTATGTATTATTGGTATTTATATTCTGTTTCCCAGTGAAAATCATTTCCCCGCCCCAGTAATTATAATAATTTTTTTTAAGGCCACATGCATTTATTTGGAGAAAAATGGAAACTTGAATAAATTATTTTAAAAAGGAATAGAAATAACTCATTCAATTGTTATTACAAGAATTAATCATGTGGAATGAATTATAGTTCTATGTTCATTTGTTTCATTTGCTGATAAAAACAAGGCAATTTTCTACAATATATTTGCAAGAGGGTATATTGATTTTCTAACATGGTAGATACTACACAAGATTGTGTGATGAAACCAATTTAATTCCTCTATAGCATATAATTTGATCATCTGTATTCATTAGTATCAAGATGGCACATTTTGTACCAAGCTAGCACCATACTTGGTTCTTTTTTCTTCTAAGAAGTAAGAACATTAATCAATCAATCAATCAGTCAGTCAGTCAGTCAGTCAGTCAGTCAATGCATGAATACAAATACCATGTGACTAGGAAACAAAAATTATAACCGGAGAACTTTTTCTCCAGATTATTTTTAGTAATGGGTGACTGTAATTTTATGAAATTGAAAACAAAAAATAAAACAGATATAAAAAAATAATAGCAGAAAAATGAAGTGAATGTTTCCTCATATGTTTGAAGAACTACATATCATAGTAGTGAAATGTTTCCACTACTACGTAATTTGAATGAAAAATGGCACCGAAGAACAATCCAGATTAATTAAAAACAACTTAAAAAGTAACTAGTCTGAGTTTGAAAAAAGGACACTATGGAAAGTCAATTGAGGAACCCACAATTTGCTCTGCCTTATCAGATGGTAACCAAACCAGGGCCTCCGCTGTTATTTTCAAGATACATGAGAGAGGAAAACAGTGCTTGGATCAAAACATGATCAGAGAGTTTCCAGCTGTTTCTTATATTGAAATAATTTTATCTTAAACATTAAATATAAATTTAGACTAAGTATTCTTCTGCTCTAAGCACATTTGCATAATTTATTTGTCCTGTTCTTGGGGTACATGGAGCAGCAGTAGATGAACAATCTTTGACTGACATTGCCATTTAGAACCATCATAATCTGTTATTTTAGTTATTTAACATTTGTGACACAGACTGCTCCTCCTAAAATACTGAGACAAATAAGACCTGATAAAAAATGAGATATCTGAATGGATCAAACTCCTTTCCCCTAAACTTTTTTTTAATTATTTGAAGAGTTTCATTTTCATCAAAGTTTCATAAATAATAGCAGTGTCAGTTGAAGGATATTTGTTTAAAGTTATGCTTTAGGTCAGAGTAACCATGCTGCAAAAAAAGTTAGTTACTCTACCCAATTTATTCAAATCTAAACTTTGGAACATTTCCCTAAATCAAAATTGCAAACTTAAATATTTTCAATTGTATAGGCAGGATTTCAAAAATTTGCTTTCCTAAAAGTAAACTTCTGAACAAAACAGGCTGTAGTTTCTGAGGAGATATGCATAAGGCTGCAGTAGAATTGAACTGTTGATTAGCACTATATTCTTGCCAGCAAACTATGCCAAACACATACAAAATTGTTTACAACGTAGAGAAAAATGAAAGAAGCAGGATCTAAATTTTCAAAATATATATTTTAACTCAGATTCGTCCTAGTGTTTAAACATAGATCAGACAATAACTGAGATTGTTAATTATATAATACAGTACTGCCAGCTGGAGCTTTCTTCCAATAGGTCTTTTATATCCTGTATGCAAACCTTCTTCATGCTAATACACACACACACACACACACACACACACCATTTTTTCCTAGACATTATTATTTTATCTGAGAAAGCAAAAGTTGCTTTAAAAATTGACGCAAAGGAAAATTGTGGAGAAATCTTCATATCTGGAGAATGGTGTCCTTGTACTTATTAGATATGATATTCTGGGGTCAGAGTGTGTTAAGTCCTGCCTTTTCTTGTGCAATCACATCTCCAATGGTCTGAGGGAAATTTCTTCTTCCATTATAGATCTCTGCCTCCTGAGAAATTGGAGAATTCTTCTTTCCCTGAAGAATCACTGATCTAATTTCATTGCCTACAAATTTGATGGAGAATTTTGAAAGCCATTTGTCTCCAGCTCTTTTTCATTCTCCTAGAAAAAGTCTGAGTTTTAGCCATGAACCATGAAATACAATATAATTCTATATATAAATAGGGACTTTTAATATATATAAGGCACGTTCCATATAATTCCATATTCATTTCATAATCCTGCTAAAGTGTTAGAGACCTTCTGTAAACTCATTTTCATTTCTGCCAACTTTAAAATGGTAAGAAGAGACAGAGAATACTATGAGGCAATTATTTTTCCCTCCTGCCCATAAATTGGAGAGTGCAAAAATCATCATTCAGTCAATTTAGTGCCTTAAGCTACAGCCACTCTTGGAGTAGTCAGCATCTCCCCATCTATATCTCACATAGAAGGGAAACAATAATTTCTAGTATCCCTTCCCCTGTGCTTTCAAAATACAAGTAGTTCTTGACTTATGGCCCTAACTGGACTGGAAAATTCAGTGTTAAGCCGTGCAGCTATTAAATGAGGCATCATGTGACCATAACTTGCTACATTCCTTGCCAGCTTCTTCATTGACTTTGCTTGTCAGAAGCTGGCTGGGAAAGTTACAATGGCAATTATGTGATCCTAGGACACTGCAACCATCATAAATGCAAGCTGGTTGCCAAACACTCAGATAGCAATCATATGATCATGGAGATGTTGCAACAGTCATAAGTGCAAGAATCTGTTTTCACTTTTTTCAGCACCTTGCAACTTCGAACAGTCAACAAAATGAATGGTTGTAAGTCAAGTATTACCTGTATGATGAAATGTGTTTATTTGGCCACTTTGAATAAAACAAGCAAACAAAATTGGTGTAAGAAAAAAAAGCTACTTATCAAAGTATCACTATTTTTGCTTATTATTTCTCATACAAATCTGTGATTATGGCAAAATACCATCCTTTTGCAACAGATGCTTTCCCAACAGCTACAACCAAATAGAAATATATGGGGTGGGTGGGTAGAAGTAAGGAGAAAGTTATGGCTTAATTGAAGCCAGAAGGTAGCGAGGCAGAGAAAAACAAAAGTTAGTGTGGGGGGGGGTGGGGGTGGGGGAAAGGGAGTCTAAAAGCCCTGAAGAGTAAAAGGAAATGTTGCAGTCTCAGCTCATCTACTTAAAGTACTAGGTAACAGGAGCAATACTTCACTGATCTTGTCTAAACTGAAAACTTAAGTAAAGTTAGGCTTGGCTAGTGCTTGGATGGGAGGCCTCCAGGAAATACCAGAAGCATAATGGGAAACAACCTATTAGTAATCAAGGACCACTTCTGCATTGTTGCCAAGAAAAATACACCGAAGTGTCTATGAAGTCAGCAGAAATGGAGACTGCACCAAAGATTTACCTTATCAGAAAAAAGAAAAGAGAAAAGACCACAACATTTCACAAGTACCTGATTGGAGCAAATACTGCATGTGAAAGGGTCAAAGGGTAACAGCTCAGTAATACATAATTCAAAACCTTTATCCATCTACATCATAATCACACTGAGATGGTTACCAGGAAACAATTTAGTTGTCTATTGTTTGTGGATCTGTTAATAGTAAAACAACAATCTTTCTTCTGTTCCTACATTTAGACGGGAGGAAGCTTAAGCCTTGGAAACATTTACCATGCTTCTTTAATGGAATATAAACTAATTTAAAGTTCTCTTTGAAATCTAAAATCTATACTTAGTTAGACATAAGGGTGATGACTTTTTGTGCGTGCTTTTAATGTAGATGTCTGTGTCTGTGTCTGTGTTTGTGCATCTATCTCTACTAGTGGATCATATCACAACATTTTGCAGAATGCAGATATAACACCATGCATATTATTCTTGCTCTCCTGGAGTTTGATCAATAATGGATTCTGGGAGTGCCAGAAAAAATGTAAAAGCAAGAAATGCAGTGCAGTGCTAAAGGACAAAAGGGAAAGCACAACAGGTTAATCAAAAGCTCTTAGTGGTCCTTTTAAGCTCTGAGAAAGTGCTCAGCAGTAAAATGCAGTTCTCATTAATTATTTTCTGGGACTAGCAATTCATCTGGGACAAGGTCTTGTATATCAGAACATACTTTTATTTTTTTAGGCTTAGGACTACATTTGATCTTTGAATGCTATATTAGGGGATGCGCTACAAAAAAAGAGGTGAAGCCAAGACAAACAAATTGTTGGGATCAGAATAGAAACATTTGATTTACTTTAAAATTAAAGCAATATAGTTAATCTGAGTACTTTTTTATATTTTCCAAGGAACTTCGGGGGTTTGCGTAGCCATGCCTAAGGCTTTGAGGAAAAGTTGTTTAGTCGCTAAGTAGTGTCCGACTCTTTGTAACCCCATGGACCATAGCATGCCGGTCCCCCCCCCCCGATCCCCCAGTTCTCCATTGTTTCTCGGAGTTTGCTCAAATTTACTTTCATTGAATTAATAACGCTATCTAACCATCACATCCTCTGCCATCCCTTCTCCTTTCCCAACATCAGGGTCTTTGCCAATGAGTTCTCTTTTCTCGTTAGGTCAGGGTTTATTTCCTTCAGGATTGACTGATGTGATCTCTTTGCAGTCTAAGGGACTCTCAAGAGGCTTCTCCAGCACCATAATTTGAGGGAGAGAAGTGACATATACTTTTATAAATTGTATCTAGGCAAAATTAACTGCCTTATACTGAATCTAAACATTTACCTTTTTTAAAAAAATTACTGCTGCATTTAATTGGTATTGCCAAAAACAACAACAACAACAACAACAACAACAACAACAACAACAAACTTGTACCAGTGTATAACTTCTTTCACCAGGTTATGGGTTTTGTCAAAATTTCATCTGCATTTGTAATCATCACAAATTTCACAGGATCACCATGTT